AAGAAAGGGGCCTAAGGGTCTCTTTAGTGTAGACTTTCTACTTAACCTTCTCTGTTTTCTCAGCTGTGCCTTATGCATCTTAGTACGGAGTTCTTCTAGCTCACTATTTCCAGATAGTAAAGTTGGCCTCCAGCATTTATGATGACAAGTCAGCAGTTACTTTTACCCCTTTTTGTTCTCATGTGTCCTTTCTCCAGCTGCTTTCAAGAACTGTTTTCTTTATCTTTGGTTTTCAGCAGTTGACTGTGATGTGCCTAGGTGTGGTTTTCTTTGTACTTATCCTGCTTGGGAGATTGAGTGAGCTCTTCAATCTATAAATTAATATCTTTGCCAAATTTTGGGATTTTTCTGGCTGTCATTTCTTCAAATTTTTTTATCTGCTGCTTTTTCTCATTTTATGATTCCAGTTACATGTGTATTAGACTGCTTCATGGTGTCCAACAGACAGTATTTTTCAGTATTTTTTTCTCTGTTCTTTAGTTTGAGTAATTTCTCTTGACCTATCTTCAGTACTGTCTTTTTCCATTCTTCTGTTAAGTCCATTCAGTAAGTTTTCTGTTTTAGAGAGTGAAATTTTCAGTTGTAGAATTTACATTCAGCTCTTTTTACAGTTTTTATTTTTCTGCTGAAATTTCCAGTCTTGTCGTTTGAACTACTTACATTAGCTGCTTTATGGTATTTATTTGCTGGTTCCAAATCTGTGTTACTTCATGGTTAGTATCTATTGATTGTCTTTCCTCTTGAGTATGGGTAACTTTTTCTTGTTTCTTCATATGGTTACAAATTTTTATTATATCCTGCACACTGTGAATGACACATTACAGTGACTTTGGAGACTGTTTTTTATTTTTCTTTGTGTTAGGAGGCAGTTAACTTGGCTAGACTGAAATTTAAACTATGTTTCCCTGCAGAGGGCAGCACTGACATCCCTGTTAGTAGTTTTATCTAGGCTGCTTATCGTCTGCTCCGTTTTTTCATAGATCACTGACCAGCCAGAGAAGTAGGCAGAGTTAATATGCAGAATTTGGGACTCTCCCTTTGTGGATCTTTCTTTTCCAGCATATCCCTCCTTACTTTGCAGCCTCTTTGGAAGCTCGAAACTTGTTTTTCAAGCCAGTAAGACTACAGATTTTGATCTTGGTTTCAACTGCTGTCTGTGCAGCTTTGATCTCTGGGACCTTCCCCTCAGCAAAAGCTGTAAAAACAGGAAACCTACCTAGATCTATTCCCTTCTTCTTCCTCTTTCTCTTCTTCCTTTTTTTTTTTTTTTAAAGGCAGAGTCTTGCTGTGTTGCCCAGGCTGGAATATGGTGGTGCGATCTCTACTCACTGCAACCTCTGTCTCCCAGGTTCAAGCAGTTCTGCCTCAGACTCCCTAGTAGCGGGGATTACAGGCATACGTCACGACACCCGGCTATTTTTTGTATTTTTAGTAGAGACGAGTTTCACCATGTTGGCCCGGCTGGTTTTGAACTCATGACCTCAAGAAGTCTGCCCATCTCGGCATCCCAAAGTGCTGGGATTACAGGCGTGAGGCATTGCACCCGGCCTCTGTTCCCTTCTTCTAAGTGTTGTCTTGTACTTAGATTCTGCCTACTTTTGGTTTGGGTGGTTGTTTTTTTTAAATCTTTTTTTCCCAGAATTTGTAGTTATCTGTAGAAAATAAGGTATTCTGTTTTTACTGGTGGTGGAATGTTATTCATCTACCTACCTACTTGTATTTTTGTTGTTTGTTTTAAAAGATAAAAATATTTCCTGAATTTTTATTGATATTTCCAGTTCAAACTCAGGATTATAAGGTTTTTTTCATATGCATCTTTATACTATGAATTATGATTCTCGAAGATATAAAGCAGAGGATAGAATTGGATATCCCTCAATTATTTTACCTTATTCTGTATTTCACACACATAGTGGTCTCAAAATAACATTAGCACAATGAACAAAGTGGGTACTGAAAACAGTTATTTTGTATATGCTTTCCATCCCCTAGTTTTAAGAATACTGTATGCATTTAGTCATTAACTATTATATCCTCTCCCTTGTCATTATCATTTAATCTTGATCAACAATAAGTCATATTATTGCTTGCCTTCAGTTCTTAGACTGATAAACTATTCATTTTGGTTGTCTTAAGCTTGTTCTATAGTAGATTCTTTAGGAAAGGCTCATGGGAGCAGGATTCCCTAATTGCTTGCAGTTTTGGTAACCGTTTATCTATGCTTTCCATGTGCTTAAAATAGATTTTACTAAATATAAAACACTTTGCTTTTGTTTTCTTTCCTTGAATAGCTTATGTCACTCCATTTTCTTCTCGCATAAAGTGTTTGCCTTTGATGTTCGCTTTCTGGGTTGTTATTCTTAGGTGTGCATGGTGCTCTGTCAGTAATTTCAGTTTTTTTAATTGAACATTTAAAGAACAACAACTGACAACAAGAGCCTGACAACTGAAAATGTCAGAGACATTTATTTTCTTTTTATTTTGAGATGGAGTTTTGTTCTTGTTGCCCAGGCTGGAGTGCAATGGTGTGATCTTGGCTCACTGCAGCCTCTGCTCCCAGATTCAAGTGATTCTCCTGCCTCAGCTTCCCAGGTAGCTGGGAATTACAGGTGTGCACCATCATGCCTGGCTACTTTTGTATATTTAGTAGAGACAGGGTTTCACCATGTTGGTCAGGCCGGTCTCGAACTCCTGACCTCAGGTGATCCGCCCACTTCGGCCTCCCAAAGTGCTGGGATTCCAGGCATGAGCCACCGTGCCCAGCCGTCAGAAACATTTTCTTGAATTACAGTTTTTACTGTTTTCTGGCTTTAGTAGTTTTTAGGGTCTTCTGTTATCTGCATATTGATCTTTGTTGCTTCATCAGCTGTTGCTTACTCTCAAATCCTTTTTATCTCTTCATTTCTTTTGATTTCAAAAATGTTGCTGTTTTTCGCCTTCTAGTTATCTTTTAAAGCATTATCTACTGTATATATTTGCTCTTGGGTTCATTCAGATTTACTTTTTATTTCTGAAACTTTTTCTTTTATTTTTAATGCTTTCTTGAGTTCTGTTACCTTATTTCCGGTTTTTTGAAATCCGATTTATATAGTTGCTTCATGTCTTGAGTCATTTTTGTAATATCTTTTAGCTCATTTTAAAATAGTAGGTTACAGTTTTTACCTATTTTGTGGATGTATGTTTCTGATATGCTTTTATTATCTGGATGTTATTCTGTATCTTACTTTCTTTTTTCTTATACCTTTATGACCTACATAATTTTCTTTTGCCTACTTTACTTAAGTGTAGCAGGTGTGGTTCAGGATGGCTTTTCTTACAGGGCTTTCTCTACTGCTGTTTTTAGGCATGCTTCAAAACTGTGGCATTTGCTTTCTGAGTTTGCTAGGTGACCTTCCCTCCCTGCTTTATCTGAATATTCTCTTTCCATTATTGTAATTGTACCTATCTAGTACTCAATTTTCATTCCACACCCAGTAATTTATACTCATTGTACCACCCTGTTATGTAAAGATCAGTTTCAAGGATTCGTAGAGGCCGGACTGCTCTCACTTCTTAGACGTAACCGTGGACTCCTCCCTCTGAAGTCACTAATTGAAAGTGCAAAACCCTTCTGTACTTAAGTTAACCTAGCTTCTGTACCTACTTGTTGGCTGTTTTAGGTGTCTTTTGTTTTCGGTTATCAGACATCTGTTTCTTTCTGTTTCCTCCCATATTGATAATGATACCATACATTATCTATGGTTGTTGTTGACTTGTTTAAATCTGCTGTTTTGAGGGGGATTCATGGAGATTCTTGTCATCTAGTTTTGTTGTAAATATTGCCCATGGGTTTTTGGTTTACTGTTTAGTTTTATACATTATTTTGGTGGGTATTTACAGATGCTCAAACACTTTGCTACTGCCCTTATTGTCCTAGAATCTTTCTAATGTGTTACTTCTTAATTGTTGCGGTTTCAAATTTGATAATCTTGCCATAATTAGATTATAACTTATTCCCAGTACTACTTGAATTGTAATTAGTTCAAGTGCTATCCTTTGTTGACAGCAGCTTTTACAGTATCCAGCATAGTACTGGGCATGTATGCAGTGGCTCAGAGTTGTCACTTTGGAAATTAATCTAATTTCAGTTATATAATTATAGTCCAACTTGTAACCTGTTAATAGTAGGATTAGCAGCCACTCCTGTTACAAGTGGAGGTGAAACATGAGGATATCAATTGGCTTGCCTGTATGTAATGTTAATTCTTGCCTCATCTTTGACATATATGCCATAATCTGTCAGCCTCCTTGTCTAAGCATTTCTGGAAGACTTTGATCTGATGTACTGATGGTACAAAAAAGTCACAGAAGCATAGAAGCATCATAGAAGCATATTGGAAACAAAGCAGACATCATGCTACAGAATGTTAGCTCTTTTTTCTTGGTTACAGTTCAAAAATACTGTCAAGGAAATGGAGACGTTCTTGAGCAAAGCAATTAATTAAAATGGTCAAGATGGTCAAAGATTTTTTTGAAGAGATCGAGTTAAAACAAATTAAAAAAAAAAAAAAACAAGACAGTTTGTTAATACGGAGAAAGGCAAAGAGGTGTGTTTCAAACGTGATGGAATTTGATAATTGTCAAGGGACCTGAAGAGCCCAAATAATACTTTCAGCCAAAGGTAGCATTAGTTTTTAATACACTGGGTAATAATTTTAGGGATCTTGTCATTCTAACAATGGCTCAGTTCCTTTGCTTTTCAACTGGGATTTAAAAAACCAGCTAATAGAAGTCAGTTCCTAAAACACAGCGGAAGTTTATTGACTTGATAAAACTTTTCAGAGTATTTATAGTGTTAAGAATTTAGTATTTATTTTTACCTCATTTGGCTTCCTTGTTTAAAGAAATTATACTTTATTTATGAAGATAGATTATGTACTTTGTAATATGTTTGTTTAAAATTACTCCCAGTGCTTTAAAAAATTACTCCTAATTTTTACTTTTTAAAAAATCTTTAACAGGCCTCAACAAATAACGAAAGCTCTAATCACAGTTTTGGAAGCTTGGGATCTTTAAGTGACAAAGAATCAGAGGTAAGTAATTTCAGTTTAAATATGGTGCTATTAAAGTAAAAGCTGGAATCACCGTTTTAATTAGTTTTTTGTTTCTTCATCAGTTCTTTTGCTAAAGGTTAATGCTTTTAAAGTTTCTTATAGGAATGTTTTGTTCTGCCTTACGAAGCACAACATTCAGATTGAAGATTGCATTTGGCGTTAGAAAGAAATACAGTTTCTTTGGTTATGTAGCTGAACTTGTAAATGAATGATGAATATATCTTCTTACTGAAGACAGTTATTAGCCATTCATAATTCTGTGAGAGGAAGGTGGTTCTTAAGTATGTTGGGTTTCCCAGTTTTCTATTATTTCTCTTTATTCTTCCCTTTTAGTTTGATCCTTAGTAAGAGTTTATGTACTTTCTGAGATACAGATACACATTTTTTCCCTCTTTTTAGAATTTCTTATGGAATCATGCTGCCGGTTTTCACTTTTTGTATTTTAAAAAATCTGAAGAATTCCCTCCCCTCTTAATCCCTCCCCCTTTTACCCATTTACTGATCCCACCAAGAAAATATCTGGGATTTTACAAGCAGGCATTTGGATCCATGGTATAATTTACTCTGAGCATGATATACTTGACATATTTTAAAAATGGGTGACAGGAAGTTCCGTGGGTTTTAGCATTCATTTGTTGATGTTACAGCTTGACTCTTGTGGATGTAGCCTTTTCTCTCCTTGGATGATACGGTTCTGTCACGTGTGTGTGTGTGTATTTTCCCTGTCAATCTTATTTCTACTTGATCCATTTTTGTCTTTTTTCTACTTGGTTAGTATAGACCTATCACCTTGATAATACCAGTAGTTCATTAGCACTCAGAGACTCTTAGGCATTTTGTTTCACTGTTCAGAAGAAAGGGAACTTCAAAGGTGGCATCTTTTTAGCTCTGTGTTATTGAAAGCATCTAGAAATCTCTAGGTAGACAGTTGCGTGCAGTTCTGTGCAGGCACCCTGACACTCCAAAGGAGTATGGCATAGGGCTCTCACTCATCAGGCTTTCCCTTCCACAGAAACAACTGGCAGGCAGCTGAAAGGACTGTGCAAGTGACGGGACTTTATCTGCAGTAGGTTCCCTTGAGGTAAGCGTTAGTAGCCCCTGTAGCATCAGATTATCAGTTTAGCTTTTAAAAAATTAACATACTTATACTAAGTCTTTGAAAATTGTAGGTTTAGCTCTAGTCAGAGTTTTTTTTTAAACTATATCAAGAATGTTCTCACTTTATATTTCCTGGACTTTGGAACATTTCTTGATATTTTCCCAGAATTGGAAATATTTAGTAATTTCACCTGCCTCCTCTTTCATAGGCATTTGTGTTATGAAGAGCAATAAAATAATTTTAGATACTTCTCTTTTCTGTTCACTAAATATGATATTTTTGATAGATATTTTTTAAAAAGCAAAACATGGTGGAAGTAAGATCACTTATCACAGTTATATGTTCTTTATAGGTACCCATATTCCAAATATAAGTTACAGATTTAGTATTTGGATTTTTTCAGAGGAATTAGTCCATAAGAGAATTCAGCTTCCCTTTAAAGAGTCCAAGGATCACTTTTGGCTATATTTTTAGTTAAAACATGTTTTTGTTTCTTAAAAGACCATACTGGCATTTGCAATGAAACACAATTTGGTTAATCATTAGATATACTTAGCTTTATCTGTACTGAAGTTTTGACATTTGGGGCAGCAATAGAAAATCTTGAAAAATCTTTTGGGCCATGTACGGGGGCTCACACTTGTAATCCCAGCATGTTGGGAGGCTGAGGCAGGATTGCTTGAGACCAGGAGTTCGAGACCAGCCTGGGCAACATGGCAAAGCCCCGTTTCTACAAAAAACACAAAAAATTAGTCGGGTATGGTGCCATGTGCCTGTAGTCCCAGCTACTCCAGAGGCTGAGATGGGACGATAACCTGAGCCTAGGAAGTCGAAGCTGCAATGAGCCATGATTGTGCTACTGCACTCCAGCCTGGGCGACAGAGTGAAACCCTGTCTTAAGAAAAAAAAAGAAAGAAAAATGTTTTGGCTTTTGCTGTTCTGTATTCTCTGTCTTGGATTTTTACAAATTAATGGTTAAGTCTAGTGGCACAGAAATGACTACAGATTATACATTGTCCTTAAGATTCAAAGAAATAATTACTATTACCATTACTATTATTATTATTATTATTATTATTTTAGTGTATCTTTCCATTTAAGAAGTTGCTTATCTGGAAAATGATTCCCAGGTTTTATCTGTATAGTTGATACCTTAATAAATTCCTTTGGGATGAAATTTTATACATATCAAAATACAGATATTTATAGATCATTAAGTAAACATGAGAAAAAACAGTTGCAATTGCAGGATAGAAGTACTTCGGTTTTTCCTAGTACTCCTAGTAGTAAAGTTTATGAAGTATTTCATTGTCTTCTGATGTCACTATTTTGGTAATCCATTCTCTGATTTACTACATTTTTTAAAATAGTAGTTTTTGGTTTTGGGAGCAAATAGTACTGGAAGGTTTATTACTTTTTTTTTTTTTTTTTGAGACAGAGTCTCGCTCTGTCGCCCAGGCTGGAGTGTAGTGGCGTGATCTCGGCTCACTGCAACCTCCGTCTCCCAGGTTCAAGCGATTCTCCTGCCTCAGCCTCCTGAGTAGCTGGGATTACAGGCGTAAGCCACCGTACCCAGCCAGTTTATTACTTTTTTTTTTTTTTAAACTGCTGTCTCCTACCACCCTTACCCCACCCTGGATTCCTGAAATTTGTATCCATATTTTAATATAATTAATATGCATACCCTATTCTAGTTCACCAATTGGACTTTTTCTGTTGAATCCCTCTTAGGATTTGTGATGGTTTTAACTCACTACAATCCCTTTTCTGTACTTTGTTCCCTCCTTTCAGACATCCTGTCTTTCAGACATCCAGAATCCTCTTGTTTTCTTCTACCCTTACTTTTAAAACTGGAAAGCATCCAATTGTCATTGTTAGGTTGATTAATCTACTTCAAGTGAAATTTTTATTTCAGTTTGTATGCGGTTTATTTTATATATGAATCTGACTTTTGTTTGTAAATGTGGAATTAAATAGAATGAAAAAGTTTTTCCTCTTGTAAATGAAAGAAGATGGTAGGTAGGAAGGTATTGTTTTGATTTTGTTTTATTTTACATCACTCCTGGTCCATTCAGCAGTCTCCAGAAAACTCAGGGTATTTTCAGTAAACATTTATTGCATATCTATTAACTTATAGTCTCTGCCTAATCACAGAGAGTATAAAGATGAATAGGATACAATCCCTGCCTTCAAGTGAAATCAGTGTTTAGTAGAACAAACATTTAGACAGTCTGCTTCATGAACAATGTAGGCTGTGCTGTAACAGATACAAGCACAAGATACTATGGAAGCAAAGTGCAAGAAACACCAATTTCATTTGCCTGTAGGGGAAAGGAAGGAAAGAAGTCTTCCTTCAAAGAAGAGATGATAATTGAGTTTTTAAGAGAGGCTGTGAATTCATCCCATAAGACAGAGCGAGGTATGAAAAGAAGGTATACAGAGGGACTAGGATCTGTGTTTGCTTTTACATGGGAGTATGACAGATAGTTTAGTTTAAGAGAGGACAGTGATTCTAGCCGCTACTGCTCTTTAGATCTCCCGAAAAGCTTTAAAAAATACCCAGCTGCTTCGGTGATTCCCCTGGTTTTCAGACTTCTGATAGAGGGAGTATATGCAGAAATGGGGAAAGGTAGGCAGGGGTCAGGTTTTGAAGACCCTTGTATTTCATAGTAAGGAATTTGGACTTCAGGTAGAGAGCCATTGAAACAGGGGAAACAAAAGACAAAGTAGAGGTAAAAGGCAGATAGCAATGTAGAGGATTGGATTGGAGGGACATGAAACCCAAGTTAGGAAGATCACTTTGTTAAGGAATACTGCCTTCTTTATAAAACTTTAAAACCTTCAAGGTTTAATATTAGGAGGAAAAACTCGAGATAAAAGGACTTCTAACTAGTATTTTCAAGTTTGCTGTTTGGGCTCTGCCTTCTTCGGATTCTCTAACTTTGGGTACTGAGACTGTCACCACCTAAGGCTGTGGTTCTCAAACTATTCTGTGCGAATGAATCACTTAATGTTTATGACAGTAAGTCTAGGGTAGAATTTTGCATTTCTAACAAGCTTCTAGATTTCATTAGATTTTTTGTTTTTGTTTTTTCTTTTTGAGCTGGAGTCTTGCCTGTTCCCTGGGTTGGAGTGCAGTAGCATGATCTCAGCTTACCACAACCTCCGTCTCCCAGGTTCAAGCAATTCTCCTGCCTCAGCCTCCCAAGTAGCTGAGACTACAGGCATGCGCCGCCGTGCCCTGCTAATTTTTATATTTTTAGTAGAGATGGGGTTTGTGTTGGCCAGGCTGGTCTCGAACTCCTGACCTCATGATCTGCCTGCCTTGGCCTCCCAGAGTGCTGGGATTACAGGTGTGAGCCCTTGAGCCCAGACTTCCTTAGGCTTTTAAAAAGTAGAATCAGTAGGGTTTGATGACTTGAAATTAGCATAAAGAAGGAAAGGGAGGAGCCTAAGATGATTTAAAGGGATCTAGCTAGAGTGCCTTTGAGATAGGCATCACAGAAGGAAGATAACAAGTGTAGATGGTATAGTAGAAGCTATCTGGAACTCAGGAAGGAGATCAGGCTAGACAAGAAGACCTAGGGGTCTTTGGCGTAGGTGTTAATTAAAAAGGCTTGGTTGTAGATAAGCAGATCTTAGAGTGTGGTTTGAGGATTCCTAGGGATCCCCTGCAATTCTTCCAAGGAGTCAACAAAGTCAAGTGTTTTTTTATAAAAGTGCTAACACATTATTTGACTTTTTAACTTTCATTATCTCATGAATTCACAATGAAAATTTCCAGAAGCTGTTTAACGTGTGATATCACTCTGATTTATTCATTTTTATTCTTTTACACTAGTATATTCTAGTGTTATAATGTTTTTGTTTAAAATCCTAA